GGGGGGGGGGGGGTTTGCTTGCTCCACCATTTATATTGACATTCTATCATTCCCCCTTCCCTATCCAGCTCCTCAAGGCTTCTGCTATTGATCCAGGCATGAGCCAAGTGTAATTCAAAATATTTTCCAAAGTACGTTGGTTCTGGAACAGTGTAGGAACCTGTGCTTTATACTCCCTGATTGCTAACCACAAAGGTAACACCTGTTACATAAATTTAGGCTCCTTCTCTGTTGGTTGTCTTGACTTAGACATACCTCTCTAGCTACCAACCATGTGAAACAAGCAACTTTGTATGGGGCCTTTGTCTTCCATATTCTTTGCCATGGCCGACGTGAGTTCGGTTTTGTGCTTCCAGTGAGTACCTTGTAGTAAGATTTGACAGATAACAGTCCATTTTTTCCTGGCTTATTGCAATTCTGTCTTTATTATGAATAACTGCTGGAAAGGTTCTAAAGTTGCAAAATATTCAGTCACTCTATCCAGTTCCCAATCGTTAAAATTCCTTCTGAATTATATCCTCCAGATATGCTAATCTCAGATAAGCCAAGGAAGCTTACTTGTATTGGGCAATTGCAAACAGTTCAGGGAACTGATCTTTCAGCAGGGCCGTAGCCATCCATTTATCTCCCCATTTACACCGTGGATAATTTTATTGCAAGAGTATGGTCTTTCTGGTAGTTTCTCGTCAACTTGTTTTAAAAAATAGATAAGTTTATAATGCTAGTCCTTCCTCCACCCCGTTTCTGAAAAAGGGTAAAAGGAGAGTATAACCCGAGTCACTAATCCACAGAGAGACCAAAATATCTCAACATCCATATATGCTGGTTGTTTGTGACAGTTCTTGTTTGAAGGAAGGTAGCTTGTTATGGTTCCTTTTACTCTATTTATGCCCAATGAGAAAAGGAGAAAAAAAAAAGGGTTCCACTTTTCTCTTCCTCTTCCTTAAGACTCTGTTGTCGCCCCTCCTTACTATCACCCTCACCACCTGGTATTCCCTTTGTATCCTTTGTTGAAGATTCCCTGCTCGTGTTCACCCGTCTCTTCATTCCCTCTGTATCCTTTGTCGAAGATCCCCTGCTGTGTTCACCAGCTCTCATTCCCTCTTTCACTATATGGTTGCCTCTTTTTAGCATCAAAGTGACCACTTGATAGTTCTATCTCATTGTCCATGATGTTGGAAAGTGGCTTTGACAGTATTCCAATTTTCAAATAGCTTTCTTAGGGGTTTATTGGTTAATATGGAAGTAAAAGAATGGAATCAAGCAATAAGTACGATAACTTATTTGAAGTTCACAAAACACTATCTTTACAGACAATTCACTTTTTCCTTCTTTCAAACTAGTCAAACCACTTAAAATAATCCTCTCTCATTTGCAAGAAGTTAGTTGTTCCTTCTGATTTTATGTGATTTTGCTTCTTTCTTTGATTTCTTGCTATCATTTGGGCTTGGTTAAAAGTAATCTAATGATGTTATTTGTGTATTTGCTTCTTTCTTTGATTTCTTGCTATTATTTGGGCATGATTAAAAGTAATCTAATGATGTTATTTGTGTATTTGCTTCTTTCTTTGATTTCTTGCTATTATTTGGGCATGATTAAAAGTAATCTAACGATGTTATTGTGTATTTGTTTCTTTCTGATTTCTTGCTATCATTTTGGCTTGATTGAAAAATATCTACTGATGTTTTTCTGTAGGCTTTTCAAAATTTTACAAGTTTGGAGACTCTAAAGATTGCAGCTGTCCTACTAGGTGAGCTTCATATTGCAAAGCTGGTTCTCATCATATGCTGCATACAATTGGTGTATTGACCATGTCCTTGTTCTGCAGGATTTGTGGTACAATTTTTCGTTATTGGTACAACCATTTCTCTTATTAAAAACATGGCACCTCCTAAGAGGGCTTCTTGATTAATAGTGTAACTCTGGTGTTATTTCAAATGTCGTTGACTGTTTAAAGAGTGTTCTTATACGCTTCTGATTCAACGGAGATGCTGCTGTAAGTTGCCTTTTTCAATGCAATTTTTGCAGGCTTTTCTGATTTAACATTATCTCATGAGCGTTTGACATGTTCAACCTTAGCCTGTTAGTGTATCAGCCTGGTTGTACCTAGGCTTTGTTTTTCTTTTCCTTCTCAGGGAATCTTGGACCATTTTTCCTTTTTTGACCATTTGCTAATCTATGTTGCTAGTTACTTTTTTAGGCTATCATTTTTTTCTGAGTGTGAATATGCAAAGAGATATTACAATATGATGGCTAAATAGTTTAACCTTGTATTGCGGGTTCTCAACACTAATTACAAATAGTCAAATGCTACAGGTGAACTTTTTGAAAATATTGCTAGTCAGAAAATTTGTGCCTTGTTCTGCCAGCAACAGCAAGTAATTCAATATGAATCAAATTTACGTTCTGTTTTCCTTTTCCCCTTTTTCACCTTTCTTCAGATTACGTAAATAAATGCGCGTAATTACTGATTTCTTGCTGCTTGTATAGATATGAAGCAGCAGTATATAAACCTTCCTTGGTTTGCTTATGCCCATCAGGCAGAAGTCATTTTTAGTTTCAATTAACACGACCACGCACACACACTCTGTACTAAATATTGCTATTATAGATTTATAGTTAAGAAGCGTTATTCGACAAAAAAGTTAATAGTGTAGCATGCCGTTTGATAGTAAACCCCCACCCCCAAAACCCCCAATCTTATTACTGCAAATAAAGTCGGGTTGAGCGCTGATGGCATGATACCACACTTTGTCTCGAGGGCCCCCTGTGCTCTCGATAGCTACTGGAAGAGGAGAATTATTGGATAGAGTTGGCCTTCCATGTGCCTAAATTCTTAAACGCAAGTAAGAGATTGGCTCCTGCATAAGATATGGCCTATTCCTTGGGGCAGATAACATCAAAAGAGGAAAAGTTTTTTTTTCATGTTTTGCAAATATTGAAAGTTCAGTAGCTTTCAATTTTTGTACAAGCTGAAACACTTTTCTTTCTTGGCGTTTGGTTGAGAAATAGTCTTCGCAAAAAATAGAAAAAATATTTCCATTTTTGCAGAATGGCTGTCCCGTCCAAATTTGAAATAGAATAGTCATCAAATCTTAAGCTGGTCTTTGCTTAAAAGTTTTGGGAACTTGTTTTGAAATTCTTTTGAATTTTTCTTCTTCGAAACACTAAGAAGAAGAATTTAATAATGTTCGTAAGAACTGGAAAACTACCCCCATACCTAACGTTATATGTGCTTTAGTCGTATATTTTTCTTTTTCATAGCTCTTGAGGTGCTTTTATAGCCTGTTAGGCCAAACATTTAAAATCAGCTTAATTTGGGAAGTGTTTCTTTCAAAAAGTGCTTTTCAAAATAATATTTTTAATGAGAAGCAGTTTGTGTTCGACTAATTATTTTGAGATGCACTTTCAGCAGCAATTAGTGTTTGACCAAGTTTTTAAAAAGTGTTTCTAAGTTTATTTTTTTCAAAAATGTTTTTGGGGAGATATTATTTTCTTCCACTTCTCAAAAACTGCTTCTACTTCAACTCAAAAATATTTTTTTTCTTCTGCCCAAATACATCAACTTTGAATAAAAAAATCTTTTTAAAAAAAAAAAAAAGAAATGCTTTAGGCCTTAGAGAAGCTTGATCAAACATGCTATTAGTCGGATTGGGCAGTCCTACTCATTCTATTGCCACATTTGCACTTCATATCATTTTTGATTGATCTCACTCACTCACAGTTGCAACTAAGATTGATCGAGGAATTACGCTACTAATACATTTAAGATTATACTATTGTTGTTGCACTGTGTATCATGCACCAAATTACCTTTTCTATAAATGCATTTGGAGCGGACTTAAATAAGAAAGTCACCTAAAGCTGACTGCCCTGCTACTNGTATCTCTCGTACGGCGGAACAGGTGTGGAGATGATGGAGTGTATCTCTCATACGGTGGCTTAAGAAGAGCTAAGAAACAAGACAACAGAGTGATGTGATGGAACGGGTTAATTTATTGCCTTTGCCCGTCTACAAATCGGATACTGCATTTACCTATAGTTGGGAGACTCGAAACACAAGATGAAGCCTACGAGTTTTAGTGGTCACAAATTCTTGGATTATATAGGTAACACGCGGTGAATATCTGGATAAATTTCAAGTCTTGAAATGGGTCCTATGATACTTAATTCGAGGGAGAAATTGTTACGTATGCATACAAAATTTCACATTAGAAGTTAATCAAAAGAATAAGTTACATATAAGATATTGAATACTCTTGATATCTAGATAAATTTCAAGTCTTGAAATGGGTCCTATGATACTTAATTCGAGGGAGAAATTGTTACGTATGCATACAAAATTTCACATTAGAAGTTAATCAAAAGAATAAGTTACATATAAGATATTGAATACTCTTGATATCTAGATAAATTTCAAGTCTTGAAATGGGTCCTATGATACTTAATTCGAGGGAGAAATTGTTACGTATGCATACAAAATTTCACATTAGAAGTTAATCAAAAGAATAAGTTACATATAAGATATTGAATACTCTTGATATCTAGATAAATTTCAAGTCTTGAAATGGGTCCTATGATACTTAATTCGAGGGAGAAATTGTTACGTATGCATACAAAATTTCACATTAGAAGTTAATCAAAAGAATAAGTTACATATAAGATATTGAATACTCTTGATGGTGCGAAAATATTTCAAGTAGACAAATTGAAGGCCAAGATGCCCAATATGGATAACTACTCTATTTTTAAACAAATAAGATGTAATGATTTGAACAAAAGGTGGGGTGAGGCTCTCTAATTTCAAATCATCATCGTCTAGCAAGTGGGAAAAGTATATATCAAGTGTTTTGACGAGAATTGCATCTTCTGTATACTACCAAAATCTATGAACTTTGTTACAATTCATCTTTTTAGGCTCTCCTCCTGTGGTTTACTGCTCAACATACGTTTCAAATTTATTGCCATGGAAATATAATTAAGTATCTTTACTACTATTCTTGGATTTTTATTTTTGTTTCAAGAAATTTCAAACATTTTTCAGGTAAAGCACTCATTTAAATGTCAAGAAATAATAATGAATTAGAAATCAAAATTTAAAATTCTTTTTATTTTGCATTTTTCATCTTCACATATCTATACGGAAACACAAACTAATCCAAGTTGAGTAGAGCATAACCTAAAAGATTCCATATAATTTTCTCCAATATTTGTAAAAAACAAACAAACAAAAAAACTAGTGGAATATCTTAATTAACTGAGAACTGCTAATTCTGAAGAATCGCCCAAATTGCGGGGATCGCGGTAACTTGTTGCAAATCATAAAGGAAATGTTCAAGTGTAATGGGGAAAAAATTACTAATAAATAGTGGTATTTGACAATCACGTATGCTCATAGTTTCAACATCAAATTAAGAGCAATTATATAACTCGGCAATTGGATAGCTGCCTATTTAGTGTTGCTCTTCACTAAATTTCTTCTCTCAATTGGTTATACAATGACGTTAAGAAAAATTGGCTGCTAAGAGTAAAGTTCTTTTGTAGGTGATGCGATAATGCTGCAAGTGGAACATGGACCAAGGATAGACAGTCATGAATGAAAGATTGCTATGTGGATATATATAGTAATGATGTAAAAATATACCCTCCGTTATACTATTGGTCCACCATTACCCTCGACGTTACAAAAATGATGTAAAAATATCCCTCCTCCGTTAGGACCCTCCACCATGGCAATATATCCTAAGTGGCCTGACATTTCGCTGAAGTGGATGTCATGTGGCATACCACCTCATACCAACCCCATTCTTAAGACCTTCTTTATTTTTCATTCACCTCATTGACAAACATCTTGAACACAGTCCATTCCCTCTCAATATTTGTCGACTCATGTTCCCTTAAAAATTTCTTTTGAAATTGGGCAGAATATATATTTTCAAGACATTGTCAAAACTTTGTTAATATGTTCTCCTTAGGCAAAAAAAAAAATGAATATGTTCTCCTGATGCCATCAAGAGTAGACGAGGTTAATTCTTGAACAACCAACGATATCCCGCTTAACTTTTCTTCCATAATATAAACTAATACTTATCAGTAACTTATTAGAAATAAATCAAAAATAGGCAAAGCAACAGGATTTTTTTTAAAACGGGAGAAGTAAAAGAAAGGACTTTTGCAGAGAAATATAAAAAAAGCAAATGGGAGACACCATGTCCGAACACTGGAGAATATTGGAAATTTCTGGAGGCCTTACTGTCTTCAACTTCACAGATGCTTTAAAAGATTTCTGTGATAGAAACAATCGATCTACTATTATCAGGTGGAAGTTTAGTTTTGAGTCTTGAGGAACTTTACCATAGATCAACAGTGAGAAAGTGAGCTTGTGATTTTATTTATTCGAAAGACAAGAAACCAAGAAGAATATTTGGGACAAATTAGTAAAATTGGCATGAAACAACAGATCTTACTTTCACATCTATACATTTATTTTTGGGTAGTGATAGGATGGAGGGAGGAATGGTGGTAGAAGAACACGAAGTGAGGGAAGGGGTAAAATGGGGTTGGGAAGTGAGTTGGGATGGCACATAGCATCCACTTCAGAGAAATGCCAGTCCATGTGGGATGGTAGTTGACATGGTGATGGTCCTAACGGAGGAGGGGTATTTTTGCACCACTTTTATAACGTCAGGGGTAATGATGGACCAATAGTATAACGAAGGGTATAAATAATCCTTTTCGCATAGTAGAGGGGTATTTTTGACCCTTTACCGTATATATAAACCTAACTGGATGCACTTTTCTATTGAACTTAAGTGTAAAGTTGGGACTTTGCCCTTTTGATATCACAATCAACTTATACAAGAGGGCATGCGCCCACCTCAGCAAGTAACACTACTAGAATTCAGATGATTTCCGGAAAATTAATAATTTCCGACCAAATTCCGACCGATTTTAATTGGACAAAAAAATAATGGTCGTAAACGTGTACCGAACGCTATTGGTTGAAAATTTCCGACTGAAATCGGTCGGAAACTTTAATGGTCAGAAATTATTAAATATTAAATTTCTGACTCACTTTATTTTTCGACCGAAATCGATCAGAAATTATTAAATATTTATTTTTAATTTTCAAATTTCCGATCGAAATCGGTCGAAAAATATTTATTTTTTTAAAAAATAATTTTAATTTTCCAACCGAATTCAGTCGAAAATTTTAAAAAATAATAATTTTATTTAATTAAATAATTATTTGTACATTGTTAATGTATTTAAAAAAAATATATAAATTCATAATTTCCGATCGGTCGGAAATTTTGAATTTCTGAAGAAAAAAAAAGATTTCTATTCGATTTCCAATAACAAAATACTACCAATTAGAGTTTAAAACAACCAAAACAGTCCTCATTATGAACTACTACCAATTAGAAGCAATACCATTAGTGGAATATCAATTTGGAATACAACAACATGGCTATCAAACCATCCAAACAAGCTTATAAACTAAATAACATGTCTCTCAAAGTACTTAAACCAAAACAACATCAACACAAACTAATTGAAACCAAACAAATAAACAATACCAGTGATTGACCAAACTATGTTGTCATTTAGTGAATGAATAAAATACATATTTCTCTAGCTACTGAAGCATTCTAGTTTTAAGTGATTTATACTCTGTTCAAAGTAGTAGATGTATATTCTTCTGTTCTGCGTTAGCTGTTCAATTTATACATCTACTCACTTCTTCCATTGAGGCAACCTTTGCAATACTACCTGTACATAATAAATGTTTAAAAGGCCATGAGAATATGATATCAAATTCTCAACTGACTCGGTAGAATGCTTAACTATAGAGTATAGACAGTTTAGTTCTTCAAATTTGTTTTTATATTTGGATTACCTTGCAGCGTCTTCCTTCAACACCTTTGTTGATTGTCTGTCTAGAAGCAAGAATAGCTCTCCCCCAGGGTAGTAATCAATTATTAGACAAATATGGGTTTTGGTCTGAAACACAGACATATTCAATTAATGAATACTGAAAAAATGTTAAGAAATAAAAGAGCTGATCAGGAAAGAAGTGACAAAGGTGGTAAAACTTTTTCACAATTCGAAATCAAAATAAAGTAGGAATATGTTGACATAAATATATTCAGGTGGATATTATCGATTCATTGAATTCATCAAGTATCAGATGCTCATGCTATTGTACAGTTCAGTTTGAAGGATTCAAGTGTATATGTGATTTGCATTTCGCACTCATAACATTTTTCTCAAGTTACTACAACTACATAATTATGCTCCCTCTCATCAAGTTCTATGTCTCTAACCTGAAAAGACACATAGAGTGCGGGAAGAAAAGGGTGGTCCAATATATCTAGGATTTCTCGTTCTGCACAAGCTCTATCTATGCACCCGTAGAAAAGATAAAAATGATCCTTATCAAAGATAGAAGAATGGAATGTAAAACTAAGAAGCCAAAAAGCAAAATGATCCCTTCACAAAGATGCTGGGTGTCATAACACAAGAAAAATTCTATGCAAACACATGACTTTGCAAATGACATGACAAGGTGGGAATAGAAGTAAAAATCTCTAATTACTAAAGGTGCGGCGACAAGTTGGATGTTGCAATGTGAATCCTACCTTGTTTCGATTAAGCATTATGCTCTTATCCATTGCATTCATAGCAAAACATTGGCCAGCTGCGCACAGTTCCACTAAATGCACACTGTATATTAACAAGTTATACCACAGTTAACCAAGAGAACATAAATAGTCCCTTCAAATATAAATTTAAGGCAGACATTGACTTGTTTCCATAGACAAAGCTTTAGGAGCCAGTTAAATCAGCAATTCTCTTCATTCAAAATCTAAGAACTTTTTAGTATTATGGAAACTTTTCTCGCATATCAAATCAGAGCGCCACAACAATTATCTTCTTGTGGAATCTTGTTTAATCTCTTTATATTCAGAAATTAATCAGGGATCAAAGCTGGAACTAGCATCATTTTCAAAAATAAACTCCCTATATAGTTTAGGACACAATTATTAGTTAATACAAAAGTATACCTAATGGTGTTACTGATGGAAAGTTGTGGCTTGCAAATTATAGATAAATCAAATCATAACACGTAAAAAAAAAAAAGATGGAATCAGCTCAAAGCACTCACGTCTTTCATTCATAGAGCAGAAACAGAAACAACACAGCTTTTTATTATGCAAAATCAAATTTTATAGTAGTTTCACCTTGTATATATTTAACTTTCTCCTGACAGCACATATCTCCCAAGAGTTCACATAAAGTATGACAAATGTGGTCAAATTTAATTTTTGTTAACTTGCAGTTCATGAAATGTGAAACCTAATACTCTCTGATTCTTTGGATCTTGAATGAAGAAAGTAAGGTCTAACCCGCAAATGAAATAGTGACCCCATTTGTGATTCTTCAGATCAACTTCCTGTAAAAGATAAACATATTATTATCTACAAAAAGAAACTAGAATTGCTGCACCAGCAAAAAGGCATTCAAGAATAAAGTTTCCATTCTCTTTATTTTTCCCCTTTTCTTATTCTTCTTTCATCTGTAATTTATAACCAAGGTTTATACATGATAATTTGTCTTTCCCAAACAAATTACCAAGTCATCGGTTTATTTTCCCAAACAAATTATCAAGTAGCCATGGCCATGATAATTTATTATTTAATCGTGCCTAAAGCAAGATACAAAAAGGAAGATAACCTTCACAATGTAAAAAGCTAACCGGAATCCAAAAATAAAACATCCTATAATAATCAAAAAAGAGACTTTCACATGTGCTTATGAAATCAATTATTCAATATCAAGATGTGAGGTCTTATATAGTTGCATTAAGTAAATAAAATAAAAGTTCAAAATAGAATTTCAACAACACACAAACAATACTGTATTCCAGTCATATAGTAATTTATTCCCATTTGATTAAAAGCACCTAAACAGGTTATGTACATGAGGCAACTTTATCAAAATTTACAAATTAAAGAAGAGGAAGAAAGAAACTTTGTGCAGAAAATTTCGCCGGGATCAACGGACCTACGGACTCGCCGAAAAATCTGGAAAACTCGGAGCTCAACAGAAGCACAACAACCTTAGGAACAACCTTTAATTTCTCTTTTTGGTAGACTTTATTCTGTTTCTGAGAATGCGGCAGCTTTGGAAAGGTTAATGCGAGGGATCCGGTTATGTTCTATCGTTTTAGATGTTAGGGGTGGAGGCCGATCTCGTTGGGAGTGATGGCCGGAGATGAGGGTCGCTGGCGTTGGAGATGAAGCAGATTTGAGAAGGTGAGAGTGAAGAGAGAGGTGGGTGTGCGGCTGGTTTTTTGCTCAAAGGGGAGGGTCCCTTTTCCTTTGATTAGGAATTGAAGGGGGAATTGGGTGTTTTAGGGATAGAGGAGTTGGGCCGATCAAGTATGGGCTTGATTTTAAGCAATTGGGTAATTTTAATTGGATTTTTTTACATTCTTATGCCATATAGGAAATTTTATTACCCTCAATGTTTAAGGTTTGACTTAATTACACTTAATATACCAAATTATCAATTCTATACCATAATTAATTAAGGATATAATTAATTGTACGTTTTTTACTCCTTAATTAAAGGAATCTGTATATCCCAGTATCCCCACTCATCTCACGTTTCTCTCTCCTAACTCTTCAGCCACACCCACGTTTTACCCATACCCACGTTCTTTTTATCATTTTCCATCTTCTGAAACCAAATTCTCCCTCTAAATTCACAGAAAATTGAAGAAACTCTTCAACAAAGTTGGGTCCCCATTTTACTCCAGTTGAAGTTCATCAATGAAGAACAACAAAGCTTCGAAACAAAGTCCTAAAAAATCAACAGTAGTTGATATACCCTCATTTGATTTGGGTGTGTTATCCCCAAAATCACCCAAAAAGCAAGGCAAATCTCCATATGCAATTGCAGAGACTACTCATAGTTCTTCTCCCCGACAAATCAGAGTCGAGATGAGAACCAAACAAAAATATGATGTAGATGCTGGAGAAACTTCTATACCAGACAAACAAGTCAAACGAAAAGGAAAAGAGATTTCGGTAGACGACGACTTTGTAGAAGAGGTCCTTAATCTTCGAACAGGAAAGAAAGCAAAGGTTTCTCCTGGTTCGAAAAATCCAAAAATGAAGAAACATTCAAAAAAAACACTAAAATTATTCGGAACCAATCATTGGCGAAGGTAAACATTTATTAGTTTCGTTTCTAATTTTTTTAGTTTGGTTTAGGATGGTAAAATCTATGTTATACGTGTGTTAGACAAGTGTAGAGTAATTGTCTTAATTTTGAAGATTATTTGTAGTTGTGATGTTCTGCCTTTATAGTTTTAGATATTTGTAGTTTTTTTTGTAGTTATACTATTGGGTAACTTGTACTATTTGAAGCAGAATTGTATTTATCTTTTGTTGCTGACTTTTTGTAGAAAATGCTTTAAATTGTATATATTATGTAATCATTTGTAGTTATGTTGTAGATAAAATGTAGATGAACGTTTCCTTTTTATGCATTTTATTAATGTGAATTAATTTATTATTTGTGCAGAATGGACAGTTTTTTATCCCACATAATGTTGATTATGGGATGCTTAGATTCCACACTTTGTATGATCCTAGCATTCCTAGCCAGATTAAAGAGCTTCTATCCTCAAATGGGTTGAATCTTTTCAAAAAGACGTGTTTTGGATACTTACTGTCTCTTCCCACCATATGCATGCAAAACCAAGCCATTCATCTTTTAATGAAGTATGAATTGACCAAATCCAATGCATCATATTTTTCTGTATAATTAAAGGGTGAAACATTAAATTTTGGATTGAGTGAGTTTGCATTAATTACTAGTCTAAGATGTGTTACCCAGGTTACTGATTTTGGTTATACTCCCACTTATGTTAGCAAAATAATGAGCAGTTATTTTCCTAACAAATTAAGAGTGGAGAAGTCTTATTTGAAACAGATAGTAACCACTAGATCTTGGGTAAACGATGAGGATGCGGCGAAGTTGTGCATCCTTTATCTTTTAGAATTTTTCATTTGTCCTTCGGACAAAGATCATGTTCTTTTGTAGATCACTTTAGGTTCTATTTGGTAGAATCTGTGCAGTATGAGTCATACCCATGTGGTATTAAATCTTTTACCCAGATGATGGAATCTGTTAGGCACATACTAAATTCGTATGTACATTCTTATCTCATACGGGGATACTCACTAGCATTACAAGTATGGCTTTATGAGTGTTGCTCTACTATCAACACTGATCTAGCTACGAGGTGTTCTAACTCAATACCTCACATACTAAGATGGTCAGCTAGTAAGGGGCAGATTTGGTTAGCTGCCTTTGAGAGAAGATGATAACGCCTGAGTGGATAAAGGAAAAGTTTTTTTTATGATTATACATTTATCTTCAAAATATCTACAATTATTCTACATTTTCTGCCTTGATCAAATTAATTTATTTTTCCTCATTCAGTTTACCAACATATGTGAATCTGGAGAAGAGACTGCAGTGCTGACTTTGCCCGACAAAATTGAGTACAAAGTTCAAGAAGGTGAACAAACATCTGAGGTTCCCAATGTTGATCCTCCTACGCTGGAACCCAAACAAACAGATGAGAAGAGGACAAATAGTCTATTGCTAAGAAGATCAGAAAATTAGAAAAAGGAATTAAGTAGGTAATACATATAAACTACAATATATCTACAATATATCTACATTTCATAAACTGTCTACAAAATATCTACAAATTTGTAAATTCTGATATATATCTATATATAATTGCATATGTTTTTGAATGTATGTTAGGACATACTATGAAGTTAACAACTTACTATATTGTAACTTGTAGGTTGATGGAAAGCTTGAAGATTTTAGGAAAGCTATCTTTGTAGAACTCGATAGCCTTCGAGGGTTTATAAATGAGTCTGTGCAGACTGTTTGCAAATGATAAACAGTAGAAATGTGCAAGATGATGCAAAGGTAAGATCTAACTTTTATTTTTATAGCAAAAGAATTTAGACATATAAAAAAATATATACAAACTAACATAAAACATTCAGTTTGCTGGCAGTTCAACAAAAAACAATGACCAACAAAAAAACTTGAACAATCAGCATTTTCAGTTTAATATTGGGGAACAAGTGCAGGCCAGCACCAGCAAAACAGGTATCTACAAAATACCTACAAAGTATCTACAATTTGTGTCAGTGTATATAGAACATATCTACACTTATCCACAAATTATCTACAATTTTGATACACATATGCTACAACTTTCGAGCCACCATTATCCAGTATTATTTACCATTTTTAATTATAAAACAGAGCATGTTGAAGGTGCAGTTGGTCAAGAAAATCTTCCAGCACATGGTGATTTATATACACATTTTCAAGTTGCAGCTGATGAAGACAAAGCAGGTATCATACTGTCGTTCAGAGATATTTTCTTGTTGTTTATAAATTTTAACACTCTTGTTAAGTAAGATATGAATTGTGTTACAGTGATGGAAGATATCAATGCACAGTCCCCAATTCATGGAGTGACAGTAGCAGCTCAGACAGAACAGGTCATTGAGGAACATGACAATAAAGGTGCAGATGCACAGTATGTGGATCTAGGTGATTCAGAAGGATCAGGAGTTGAGAAGAAGGGGGTCACACTAGATGATTTTAAGTTTCCTGACAACTTATCCCAGTTGGTTAAGTTTGGCGAGCCCATACAAGATGATTCAATACCTATGCATCCGGGGAAAACAAGGCATCCGGGAAAGCATGTCCGATCACCATTTATCCCTCTATACAGTTTTGGGGGCAGCAGCTCGGTTGGACCTAAAATTTTCTACCTCAAGAACCCTTTTACTACTGTTATTGGTGAAGATGTAGATCCGGAGGTTTTAGATAACTTCAACAAGTGGTTATACCATTGTAGCGACAAACGTTCAAAGAGGTATGAATGCATAATTTGACACTTGCATTTCAACATTTATCTTTTACATATCTAATTCAATCTACAATTTTTTTTGACATTTATTTGTTGTTACAAGAGGAAAGCTCCGTTTTTCATAAAGGATAACCAAATTAAGCCTTGGTTAGACCTTGGAGTGGAAAAGGTTGATAAGAAGGAATGGTTCTTTTCCCTGGCTCACCCCGGACAAGTCCTCAATGACTCAGTAAGTATCACGGAGTCTATTCCCAAGATATGATTTGTAGATATTTTGTCTTCTGTTTTGTAGTTTAATTGTATTTATGTTATAGATACCTATAATATATGAAGATGACTTGTAGTATAAATTATAGATATAATGTAGACATGATTGTAGATGATGTGTTACATGTTTGCCCAGTAGCTGTAGATAAATTGTAGTTATTTTTAGATTATTTGAAGTTGACTTTGTAGTTTAAATTGTAGAGTTACTTTTAGACATCATTGTAGATTTTTTGTTTCTGTTTTGTAGTAAATTGTAGTTATAATGTAGTTTTATGTAGGTTATTTGAAGTTGACTTGTTGTTTATATGCCAACTATTTTTGGTTGCAGCACATTGATGTTTTAATGTATTACTTGAGGAAAAGAGGCAAGTATGGCCCCAATAACAAGACCAGGTTTACCACAACAGATTGTTTGTTCAAGATCGGGATAGAACAAATTTATGAAAAGTTCATAAATTCACCTCCACAAAAGAAGTATTCGGTTGTTAAACCCCAAGATGTTGTTACAGAATATATTTTGGGGTATAGACTACTTACCAATATTGCATGGGATGAAGTTGACTATGTCATCATGCCCGTCAATATTGTAGAAAAATTCCATTGGGTGTTGGTCGTTTTCGACATTGCAGACATGCAACTTTATGCGTATGATTCCATGGTCTCTTCATGCAACCATCAAGTTGTTGAATCCTGTGTCGAAAAGTTTTCTGTTATTATCCCTTTGTATTTGTCATGCACTGGTTTCTATGGGAAGCATAAAGACATTAACTTTAAGAATACAAAGGCATACATCGAGAAACCAATTACCGACCCTATTAACATTCAGTGGATCGATGGAGAGATTCCACAACAAAAAGAAGGGTCATTGTAAAAAATCTATTCTCTCTTTCTATGCATTTAATTCTTTTTTTATTTCTAATCATTTGGTAAACATTTAAAAAAAATTGTGTTATGCAGCGATTGTGGTGTATTTTTTGTTGTCTTTACGGAGTATGTTAGCCTTGGAGATTTGTCAATTCCTACAAAAGACCTTTGTGATATTGACCAACATCGTAGACGCTCTGGAGCGCTCCTATGGGACTATGCTACAAAGAAGCAGGAAGATGGGTCAATCAATGAAACTGAGGTTACAGGCATACTAGCAAGGAGGAAGGGTGCACCTGCATTGAATGAAAAAACAAGAGTTCAGAGAAAGAAGAAGTAGTGTCATGTATATGTAATTTAGTTGATGCTAGTTTGTAGGAGAAGTATAGTACACAACTTTTTGAACAATTCATTTGTGTTTTTAGTGCAGCAGACCTTTTGCTTTGTTAATTTCTATCCAGTTTAGTAGTTCACTTGAAAATAACTTGGTGGTTTTATCTCCAGTTGTTTAATATTTACGGCACTTGTTCTTCATTATCTTAAACATAGTTATTATGTTGTTAGGATACAAAATATCTACAAAAAAACTTCAAATTATCTACAATCTGGAAGAATATTGAGATTGTATATAATTTTATAGTTGAATAAGTATATAATTTGTAGGGAATACCTCCAGTTGTATTTAATTTCTGTATATAACTGTCAGTTCAAGTTAAATTAATTTTTTTAACTTGTAGTTATATTGTAGATAATAAATATTAACTGCCATGTATAGAATGTCAAAAATGGAGGTAGATGCTTGACACAATACAGAAAAACATGTTAACAAACACAGAAACAAATTGAAATTAACTACATTATGATCTTTAAAAACTTAAACGATTAGACACAAAATTCTGTTAACTTGAACACACTAACAATTATTTTGAAATACTATTCTAACTACATGATATTTATTTCTTTTTGGGTGCATTCTTGCAAGATCTTTTGTTATGCCCTTCACCTCCACAGTTGCCACATGACACCTTGTACTTCTTTGACTTTAGTTCATCATATGTTTTGTATCTTTCCTTTTGAGGTCTTCATGGCTGCCTTTTCTTTCCCGTAGGTGGATTTACTACTTCATCAGATATATGTTGTGGCACATGCCATTTGCTTTCATCGGGAAGGGGATTTACTGGTATTTCATATGTACGTAGTAGGCTTTCCTTTGTGTAATACGGAGAGCAATAGTTTTTTTTAAGTTTCATTCATGTGCCTTAAAGCTGCCAAAGCATGCGCACATGGAAGTTCATCAAGTTGGAACTGGCCATAACTACATTTCTTGCTTTCAAGACATATAATGTACCGCTTCACACCATCTATCACAATATGGATATGATCTCTTGAAGCCCTCACCTACAATTACATAACAAACAGAAAGAAAAATATTTACAATCATACAAATAGATTATCTACAATTTATCTACAACTTATCTACAATTTATCTACAAATTATCTACAATCTACAAATTAACTACAATTTGTCTACAATTTATCTACAATCTGGAAATACTGTATATTAAAATATTATTTTTCTGCACCAAATAAACAAATCTTACCCTAAGTTTCTGAGATAATGTACTGTTTTTCTCCAATTCTTTGTTGAATTTGTACCCAAGGAATGTGAAAGTACCCTTTGCCTTCAATAACTTCTCTTTCGTCCAACGTTCAAGAAGTGTCCTCATATACTCTAATAGGTCAAATATTGGCAGCTCTCTTGCATCTTTTGTTACAGCATTCAACGACTCTGCAATGTTTGATGTCATAGTCCAAGTTCTATTCACTGTTACATGTACTCTTGACCATCTATGATAGCCAATATCATAGAGGTATGATTTAACACGCGGGTCTATCTCTTCAATCTTCGACATCTTTTCATTAAATTCATACAGAGTGTATGACCCTGCTGTAGCAAAGTACAATTCATTTAATTGTAGATGACCCTTCTTGAGCTTTACCCTTATATTTGTCCAAATATGGCACATGCAAGAGTAGTGTGACACGCCCTGATAGACAATTGATGTTGCCTTCAGGATACTCTCATTCCTATCTGAATCAACACACATTGAAGTTCTTTCACCATATGCTTGCTTGAATTGCTCAAAAAATCACTTCCACGATGCGTCGTTTTCCGAATCAACCACAGCATATGCCAAAGGCAATATTGTACCTACATTATTAGTAAAAAAATAATTAGCTGGCAGCTTTGAAAATGCATATAAAAACACAAATACATATAAACTACAATATATCTACAAAGTATCTACAATATATCTACAATTTATAAATTGCCTACAAAATAACTACAATTTTACCTGTTGCATCCATTGTACTTGCTATCAGCATAATCCCCCTGTAGGCTATCTTTAAGAATGTCTCATCAACCACTACTACTGGTCTACAATATTCCCAACCACTTATTGATGTACAAAGAGCAACAAATTGCATATAAGAAGCATTCATTTGTTGTCTTCTTCAATTTAACAACTGAACCAGGATACATCTTCTCAAGAATATAATAATATTTTGGTAATTTGTTGTAGGAGTCAGTCGAATGACCTCTCAAATACTATAAACATTTTCCTTTGCTCTTCATGCTTGCATGTAACTTAGGTTCACTCCGTGTTGGGACAACATGTCAGTTTGTATGTCCTTTGGTGTGTAAACTGTCTTAGGATCAAAATACTTTGGCATGACCATACTACCAACTACAACTGCAGTACGTTTGCGCTGTATGAATGTATCGTTCATTAAGGTGCATGTGTGTTGTCGGTTGAAACTCCTGATCTTGAACATTGAAGAATCATTAATTGATGTTGCCTTGAAATGCCAATTACAGTTTTCTCCAACGCATATAAGCTAGTAGCTATAAAAAAATACATTTATAATACAGGTTATCAATGTAGATGTAACAAAAGGACTGTTTTAACATAAAGTAACACACTATACAATATAACTACTTTTCATCTAAATATCACAAGGAAAATACAGTTTATAATGATCTTTTCACCATTAATATCTTTATACCTTCTGTGGCTAGATCTTTTAACCCTGAATTGGAACTTATGCATGACAGAATAGTGCTTCATTGTAGTTGCAATTGTTTGCTTGTCTTGATACACTTGTCCTTCTTCGATAACACTTTGTGTACCTTCAGTTATTATTTCACTTTTATATTCCTCCATGACGGGAGAGGTTGGCATATCAAGTAACTATATTGTCCTAGACTGTGACGACCCAGCCGATCGTCTTTGGAATTTATGCCCCGTCTCCCCATTAACTGCTTCCCCTAAGTTCATTTCTGCTATTCTATTTTGTCGGGACGTTCGGTGTTGGTATTCGGAGTGTTTTGGGACACTTAGTCCCTAAATAAGAGCTTAAGTGTTGAAAAAATGGTCCGTAATCGGAACAGTGTGAAGATGGCCTCGGAATGGAAATCCGATGGTTCTGTTAGCTCTGTTAGGTGATTTTGGGGTTGGGAGCGTATTCGAAATATATTTTGGAAGTCCGTAGCTCATTTAGGCTAGAAATGCCGAAAGTTAGTATTTTGACAAATTCCTGTTGATAGGTTAAATTTTGATCCAAGGGTCGGAACGGAATTCCGGAAGTTGTTGTAGTTTCGTTAGATGATTTACGATATGCGTGCAAAATTTCAAGTCATTCGGACATGTTTTTGTCTGGTTTTTGATCGAATGTGTGTTTTGAAGTTTCTAAAAGAACTTAGGCTTGAAGTTGATGTAATTCGATGATTTTAGTGTTAGTCGAGGTGTTTTGATGATTGGAACAAGTTTGCATAATGTTTTAGGAGGCGTTGGTGCTTTTGGTTGAGGTCCGGGGGGCCTCGGGTGTGTTTCGGGTGAGTTTTGAGCAAGTACGGACACCCCGGAACTTAGAAAAATGGAGGTGGCAGCAGTGGAGACGCGGACCGCGCTCCTTTTCGCGCTGGGCGCGCGGCC